GCCAGCGGCAGATCTAGTCTATGGCCCCACTGCCAACCAAGATTCGGCTGCGGATAGGGAGAGCGGCACCTTGCAATACTGACACTCCTCTCTCCCCGAAGCCCCACCACCATCGCATCAATCAACGGTGCGGCCCCGTCAGAGTCGCAGAGAATAGGGCGAATTGCGCATCACCATACCAACACTTGTCTTCGTCCGCGACTCCACCTCGGCTGCAGCGGTTGGGGGAGAGGGCAACACTCTCGCCGCAGCCCACCAACACACATCGTCAGTGGACTTCGCAAGCCTATTTAGAGTGGCCACCACGGGCTGGCCCTACGCCTCGGGCCAGTCATGTGGATTCCTCTTAGTTCACCGCGGGTGACCAAGCCACGGCTATTAAGCTCCCCCTCCACGCCAAGATGGGAACCCGTTCGCTAGGGGCTTTTGTGCTTACTTATCAGCCTATATTCGAAACTTTTAACTATTCAGACTAACAGCTAAGTTTTATTACAGATTTTTTCAATATTAACAAGCACTAGTATAGTGTATTTTTTATATGTACCTATAGAACAATGGTAGAGTCACGCGGCAGCTTTTGCTGTCGCACAGATAGGCCGGCTCGAACCGGGGTGGTACCACGACCTCACAGAAAACCAGCGTGAAGTAGAGGTTTACCTCTGCGTTTTGCTTGGTGAGTGCCGGAGGCCCTTTTTACTGGAAATGAAGCATTCCATCTTAGTCCTCACGGGTGACAACGCATCTACATTTTGATTTGTAATAGAGGATAGATGTAGATGTAAATGGGCCGCAGCTACCACTTACATTCTTTCTCTTATATTTAAAACTATTGTAACGTTCCTCCCAACCCCTCTCTATACTTATTTTTGTCTTTCTTTAGAATATATATCTATAACATACATAAATGTATCAAATTTACGTGACCAGTTTATTACCCATATATTGATATTTCTAAAGGTTTAAATATAGGCTATTAAATAAATTTATGGCGTGATCGTCTTAGTTAGGACCCTTATTTACGTTGTGTTTGTATATTAACTTAAATCTTTTAGGTGTCTCTTCGAAAAATAAATATTCATTAGAGCAATAGAAAGCTGTTGGTAGCGTCTTATAAACTAAAGGTTCACAATAACCCAATTCCTTATTAATTAATCCTTTCCCGCTTGGAAAAGGCTCACAATATTTATGTCAAATACCAGATACAAGGGCTTTTCTCTATCATATTTTTTAAAAAATGTGGGGTTGGCACACGGCTCCACACATGCCGTGTACGGTGAGCGTCAACCAATCAACGTGCTGCCCCCAAAGGGGACGATTAATTGGGAACTGGACTATAGTCCACAGCAAAATAACTGGCGAACCAGTAAAAGAAGGATTGGCCCCTTGGTAGCGCGTCAGCACAAACATCGACCGAAGTCGCGCATGTCAATACGTGTAAACGCCATACAGAATATGATCAAATCTAGCCACAGTTAATGCACGTCACACGGATTAGGCAACAATAGGCACACTGGCCATAAAAAGCCCTCCGTGAGCGCACCAACCTGCCAGAGCGCCGTTCCTGCAGACGTGATGTAAGTGTAAGGTATAACCCAATTACATGATAGGCTATAATTGGCCGCAGAGCGTGTCATGAGTCTACCGCTCAACTCAAGGGAATGAGGTCCGTTGCGCGGCTTTCGGTCGCAGCCTTGAGAACCTCCTCAGATTCTCTCTCCAGCTACCACCCGCATGAAGTCGACACATATGCTCTACCAACCAATACAATGGCAGATATAGCCAAAAGGCAGTTATAAGATAATAGTAATAATTCTCCACCAGAAAGGGTTTGTGTCACTGACGTTGAGTATATGCATTTTTCGATCATGTTTGTCTCACCCACCAACAAGTTGCTTTCGATCATAAAAGGTGGGAAATTTACTGAGATGTATTATTATGTTGTTATATAAAACATCATGGAGGTCAGACAGTCTGCAGCCCCACAATGATGGGACCCGACTTGGGCAAAGCTACTTAGGTTGTGAGTCAAACCAAAACGCAGAGAGCGCCATTGAGAATAGCGACCCACCAAACAACCATCGCAGAGACAGAATGCTGCAGAACGCAACAAGCATCAATACGACTATCGTCGGGCTTACACCATCTCAAGATGGGGATCTCCCACCCTTTTTTCTGCATAATCGAATATAGCCCTTATGTTTTATGGCTGGCAATTAGCTGTATTGTTAATAAAAAAAAATTAAGAATTTTTACTGGAAACGAGGCATTCCGGCTTAGTCCTCAGGGGTGACAAAGCATCTGGTCGTTTATGGGCCGCAGCATCTACTTACAATCAGATGGAATGTGTGATGGAAGGTCCCCCATACAGTCTCAGCAGACACTACCACCCGCATACCCCCATTGACCAGAACCACAAGATGCGTCGAATCAGGCGCAGCACACCCGCTATTCCATCACAAGACGCAATACCGCAAGTAGCAATAAGCATCAATGCAACTGTCATACGGACGGCGCCCCCTCACAACACACCCACATGATCCCTATCGACTTTGATAACAAAATTGGTACTGTTGTTAACTAAAAGTACCACCAACGTATCATAGTAGCACGCTACTAAGACGTCAATAGCCAAAACTCCACGTATCATGATACTATTGCCCTAAGATATGGAGTTGAGTATGCTTGCTGCACTTAAAAGTACTACCAAATACACTCACCCTAATCCGAAATATAGTCAACGTATCATAACGCTATGCGCTAAGACGCCGCCAACAAACGGTAGGGGTGTGCGATGTCCACGGGCATGTCATATTGCTACAACACACCCGCTTACCACAGGCACAAGATTATTTTTATTTTTTATTTTATTTCAAACAAAATCCACAGCTCTTTGTTACATCGTACGTACATCTTATGATCTTAAATTATAGCCAAAAACGGATTTACATTATTTAGGTAAATAGTATTTTCAATTTATAACGGACATGTTGAAGACAAAGTAGTTGGGACTAAAAATATATATTTTTAAACATCTAGAAAACATTACAAGAAAAATCAAAAAAATTTCAACATAAATAATGCTCGTATGCTCCTCCCTCGCATGCGGGCGTGTGTGTGTGTATGTGTGTGTGTGTGTGTGTGTGTGTGTGTGTGTGTGTGTGTGTGTGTGTGTGTATGAGTTAATGAGTTACCTAACCTCACTGCATCAGAAGTTTCAAGACATCCTTTTTAAACCTATCCTTACTGAAATGGAAAATATCAACTGAGTGGAATCTTTTATTATAAACTGTTTGTAAACGATTCACCAGAGAGTTTTGCGCATAGTTTGTCTTTGTCTTAACAACTGCAAACAAAGGTGTATGTCTCGTTCTACGTTTCGGAGTACAAAAGCAGAGAACTCTATCAGCTAAAGTTACACAGTCAATACTTCCATTACATAAACCATGCAAAAATGCCATGTCCATTTGAGTACGTCTATCCTCAAGGTTTATTATATTGAAATATTTACAAGACTCTTCATAGTTATTAGTGTAAATAAAATGTCTATACTTTAAATTTCTCATGAATTTGTGCTGAATTTGTTCTAGGTTATTTATATGAACAGTGTAATACGGGTTCCATACAGTACTACAATATTCAAGGACGCTTCTAACATATGAAAAATAAAGTAATTTAATACAGTTAATATCAGTAAAAGGTCTGCTTACGCGTAGGATGAAGCCAAGGCTTTTGTAGGCCGAGTGCGTAATTGTTTCAATATGTTCTGAGAAGCTTAACTTGCAATCCAGTAATATCCCCAGATCCTTCACTAATTCTTTCTTAGTTATGTTAAGGTGATTTATTTGGTAGTTGAATTTTGTAGGTTCTCTTTTCCTTGTGAAAGAAACGTAAAGACACTTGCTGACATTAACTCCTATACGATTTACCACATAATAGTTACCAAGTCGCACAAGATCATCTTGAAGTTTCATGCAATCTACATAATCCGTGATTTTCATATATATTTTAGTGTCATCAGCGTACATCAGAAACTTAGCATTATGAAAACACTTACCCACATCATATAGATAGCACACGTACAGTAGAGGACCCAAAATAGAACCTTGTGGAACTCCGGATGTTATTTCCACGAAGTCAGAACGGAACCCTCCTAAGACTACTGCCTGAGATCGTTTCCGCAGATATGATTCCATCCACCTGAAAAGGTTACCTCGTATGCCCAGCTCAAAAAGCTTACGTAGTAATATGATGTGATCTACGCGATCAAAGGCTTTCTCAAAGTCAGTGTAAATGACATCTACTTGCGACCCTCCATCCATATTTGTGGTAGTATAATCAATAAATGCGTCCAAGTTAGTTGCTGTAGAGCGCCCTTTCACAAAGCCATGTTGTTCTGGGGGTATTGAAGGTAATATGATGGGGTATATGTGCATATGAACGATTCTTTCTAGCAATTTACTTAACACATTGAGTATTGATATTGGCCGGTAATTCTCAATTATTGTCTTCAGCCCCTTCTTGTGTATAGGTACAACATGAGCTTCCTTCCAAATACTTGGAAAGTAGCCATCGCGAAGACACCTATTGAATAATAGTGCTATAGGAACAGATAAGGATTTTGCACATTTTACAAATAATACAGGAGGCAATTTATCGCTACCGGCACCTTTCGTAATGTCAAGCTTACAAATTAAATTCTTAACTTTCTCTGGATTTATTTCAATATCTTGGATTACATTTAAATTTAAATTATCGGATCGTATAGTCAAATTATTGTCTATAGATTTAGTAAAATTACTTTTAAAAAAATCGTTAAATGACGAGCAGATTGCTATTGGGTTATTCAATTTAGTGTCTCCGTATGTCATTTCTTGAGGATAATCAGAATTGTATTTACGCTTAGACTTTACATAACTCCAGAAAGCTTTAGGGTTATGTTTAATATTCTCTTGAGTGCGTGCTAGGTACAGTTTATAACATTGTTGCTGTAGTATCTTTTGTCATTTTCTCAGCTCCGGAAAGTCTGCGTAATCAATCGGATTTTTATGCTTCTTCCAACTAGAGTGCAATTTACTCTTTTCTTTTATAAGGTTAATTAGTGCTCTGCTGTACCATATTAGATAAGAATAATTACTACTACATCGGATTTTAGGAACGAATTTTTCAATTAATTCATTTATTATACTGTAAAATTTATCAGTAACACGATCTAAACTTGTTTCCCTTGTGATAAAAGCCCAGTCTTGTTTCAAAAGTAAATCATTCATACTACGGTAGTCTGCTCGCTTAAATTGATATTTAGTCCTTAAAGAAGGCCTACGTGAAGGTACTAAGATGTCCGTCGCAGATATGTACAGAGCTGGATGATATACATCTTCTATAACAAGCACAAATTCAGATTTTTGAACTTTTATTGGGAAAGATGAAAAGATTAAGTCTAGAGTATTCTTGCTACTGTTTAAGAGTGTATTGTATTGAGAAAGTCCTATGAAAGAACAACAAGATATAAGATCAGATGCTGCAGTTTGAACTTCGACTGATCCTTTCCTACGTATAACTGGGTCTCCAGAACTCCAGTCAATACATGGTAAATTAAAATCTCCTGAAACAATTATATAGTCATTTGGGTATTTATCACGAACAGCTAACAATGTGTTAATGAGATCCTTTATGCGCGAAGATATTTGACTATTAGGTGGTATATAAACTACCGAAATGTGTATGTCATACGAAGAGCCTATGTTACTTCCTGGAATGGTAATCCAAATGCATTCCAGATCAGTATTATTCCATTCTGGTCTCATGCTCGCGTGTAGCTTTGATTTACAAAGTAACATTACACCACCTCCTAATGATCCTCGATCTCTACGAAAAATTTTATAATTATCGTCACTTAGTTCTGCGTCCAAAATACCATCATATAACCATGTTTCAGAAATCATAACTACATCGATCTCAGACAGTAACAGATTATTATAAAACGTATTAGTCTTTGTTCGTAGCCCTCTAACGTTTTGATAAAGCAATGTAAGGTTGTTACTATTTTTACTATTTTCATCCATTTCTGACAGGGTAGTAGTGGTGAAATCGATAAACGTACACTCTATAAAATGTTAAATATTTAAAGGAAAAATAAACTATTATTTTTAAGACATAGTTATTAATTAATATAGATAAATATTCGCAAACCTTAATGGTCAATGTATAACTATAAGTTAAGCCGTAGTTTTTAATAGCATTTAAATGTGGCACTACGAGAATTTGCTTCGGTCTAAAATAGGAGTGTAGTTCACATGGAAAGGATATACTTGTGAGGTACTCTTGCACTGCATAATCAATAAGTGTGTAAATAGAGTTGGGTGTAGAGAAGTGTAAAAATATTTTATGTAAGTGTAAGGGAGGATTATTGCATACATTGAAAGGTGAGTAATTATTAAATATCAAACAGTGTTTTACATTATTTTGGATATATCGGTTGATGAGGATATTGGAATAGGGGGTGAGGCCTCGTCCTTTCGAACGAAGATACGGCAGTTGTTTGTCCAGACAAATTTATAATTTATCTCCTTGGCTTTTTGTTTGCATGTATTTAAAAGAATTTTATTTTCTTTTGTAAGGTGCTCATTGATATAAACTCTGTTAGTCTCATCACCCATTCCCAAATCCTTAGCATTCAGAGTACGATACTTGCGACCCGCTGCTATAAGTTTGTCTTTGACGGCACGTTGTCTTAGATGCACAACAATGGGGCGTGCGCGGGCAGCACTCACAGCGCGCCGAGGTTGGACCCGGTGTGCGAAATCGATATCAGTCTGCTGAATAGGAGCCCCAATATGCTGCGAGAGTTTCAATACTATTTGTTTAGTATCTTCGGCCTTATTCTCAGGAATCCCTGTTATCTCTATATTCTGCATTCGTGTCCACTGTTGTTGTCTCAAGTTTTCGTCTTCCAATGCTTTGATCCTTGCAGCTTGTGCAGTAACACTATTTTTTAGACTTTTATTTTCTTCTCTTATACATTTCAATTCAGAAGTGGTCGTTGCAAGCAGCTTTTTTAGTTCTACGAGCTCTTTGCGAAAATCCTCATATTGCCCACTAATAAACATTGAAGACTCCTGATATCCGGAACACTGGTTTTTTATTGTGGTTAACTGATCTGATAATTCCTTCAGGCTTGATTGAATAACAATTCTTAATTCTTGTCTTTCAGCCTCCAAGACATCCTTCAACTTTTTTTCCGTTATGTAGTCAAATGCTAAATCAGATTTTTTACGCAACGTTACATTCAAGTTATCTGCGTTATCGAGAACTGCCGACTCTGTCTGGTGCGATGGGCGTATAGGTGTGTTTGTGTTATCCTTCTTAGGTATTTTACTTTTACATTCCAGGCATCTCCAATTACGCTTATTCTCATCATTTAACGCTCTATACCGCTGTGGTGAGATATTAGCGCATTGAAGGTCATACTTCTGTTTACAACCAAGGCAGGTCATGTATCTTTTATCAGATATTAATGCTCTGCAAGCTCCACAGAATTGTTTATCCATTTTAGGTGCAATAGAATAATCCAAAAAACAACTTTTAAAATTTACTAGAAAAAGTTTGTTAACTAGTATGTGCTAATTATTTTATCCAGGCGCTAAAAGATTAGCAAGTAAATATTGCCGTACTACGTCACAGCGAGCGAATTGCGAGTTGGGGGTAGGTCCAAGAGATTGAAAATATAAGATTTTATAAATATTAAAATGCTTCTTACTCCACAATTTCTTGATGTTTTATTGTAGTGATTACACAGACACAATCACCGTCATATAAGGTTCACACACATATGTACTAGTCGCAGTGTTTCGTACTATAAACAGATATTTTGAATTTTAAATAGCCACAAAATTCAAACGATGTTTTATCTTCAACTGCCCACAGATTTTTTTGAAGATGATATGTCAAGGACACATCGATTAGCGAGTCCAAGTTTACCTCGTTCTTGGATGCTGTGAAGCAATCTACACGCCACTATAATAATCTTTTTCAAGTCCCATTTCTTTAAATATAATGTTTTTACATATTTGAGACCTTCCTCATATTTACTTTATTTCATAGACCGTACTACTATATATCTTATACATAAGGGACTTCGAGTCATAACTCTACTATCATAATGCTTAGGCATCATAGACACTACTATTACTATATATAGGGACTTATGATAGACCTCACTATCATAAGTCCCTAATAAGGACTAGTCATTGTGCAGTCACAGTATTATTTGCAGTCGGTAAGCCGACCATCCCATATATATGTACACCCATGAGTATGTGTCTCCGACAACATCCTTCTTTACAGCAATCATTACATGAATCACTCCAGTAATACAAAAACACCCTCATTAACTTAGAAAAATTTTGACACATTTTTTCAATTATATTACGAATGTTATTTATCTTTATTATTGCAATATAATCGACTTGTACTTGTATTACTTAATACATTTTGAATGTTTTATCGCAGTTCCTCATCAAGTCCTCCAACCTTCGTAATGCGCGTTCACATAAGGCCTTTCTGTGCGTTTTCGTGTGCCTCGCCACTAAGGCCGTTCACTTAGAACTTGTAAGTGCCTTCAGCACTGAAGCCTTTGTGTCCATGCTAGGGCGCTTCGTATCTCGCATCCAGTGGAAATTTGACCCTCCGGCTTGCCTACACTGGGGCGGTATTTTTGAGGCGGTTGTTAAGGTTGCAAAAACGCATCTCCGTCGCATTATTGGCGAAACTATTTTGACATTTGAGGAGCTTGCCACTGTATTCTGTAAAATTGAGGCGGTAATCAACTCTTGGCCACGCTGTCCCCTCTCGTCCGATCCGAATGATTTAGAGGTTCTAACCCCGGCCCACTTCCTGATTGGCCAACCGCTTAACGCCCTGCCTGAGTACCCCTTCAGGGAAATAAACTCTTCGCGGTTGAGCAGATTTGACCTGCTGCAACAAATGACTCAGAGTTTTTGGCACCGATGGTCTCTGGAGTACCTACATCTTTTGCAGCAGCGTGTTAAGTGGTCTGACAAGACGGATCCTCCTCGGGTTGAAGACCTCGTATTAGTTAAAGAACCCAACGCTTTGCCTTTGTATTGGCGCCGTGGGCGCATTGTTAAGTTGTCGTATGGATCGGATGGCCGAGGTTTTGGTTGGAGATTCGGTCTTGCAACGTGCCGTCGCGACCATATCCCGTTTGCCAATTTACTCGCGGACATAAGTCCTTATGCCCGGGACGAGAGTTTGTTTAGACCAAATCGTAACACATAAAACTTGCATTCCAACGCTCGACTCGGCCATTAACCGGTTTGACGGCTTGGGCCGGCGGGACTCGTTTTGCGGGCGTCGGCCGTGCCGATTAGTCTGGAACATGCAATTGTACGCGACGGCCGTGCCGGTTAGATGTCGACTGAACGAACGATGAACTTCCCGACATCTAGTCGGGAAGTTACGTTAGAATCGTTAGGTCGCGTTAAGACCGCTTCCTTTGCATTGTCTTATTTCCTTAGTATGCGTGACAACGAGGCTTATCTTGAGTTTTGAGTTTTTAACTTAACTTCGATTGCCATTATTTTGCGTCGACGAGTTGTTTGTGTGGCATTAGACTTGACTTCAGATAAAAGTGAACGCCCACTGGAGTGATTGCATCGTGGGGGGCAGAGCAGCGCATGTGGGTTTTCTGCCCGATTACATCGGTGACGTCAAGTTACACTTACACATTTTCTTACACCACTTACACGCACCACTACTTACCCCTGACGGTACCTTGTGGTCGACCGGATCGTCTCCGGATCTCGGTAAGTTTGTGTTTGTTTATCCATCCACTACATAATAATTATCCATAGGCCATTTGGGCCCGAACCCTCTGGTTGCCCGTCGAGTGGGCTACTCATGGGCCCTAGCCCAGTCGACTTCTGTCGGGGCAACTGAGGGCCGTATCAAATACCTTTGTAACAAAATAATGAACGCTTATTACGGCTCTAAAAAGAGCAATTACAATGCCGTGGCAGTTTTAAGAAACAATATTAAGAAAGCTTCTCACGCCACAATATCAGCTGATATCGTCGGTCATCACGATGGACCACTGATTGTCGAAACATCATCCGAATGTCGGCTACAAAAACCACTTGATGCCGACAGAAGTGGGTCAAAATGTCGGATATGTCCTTGATCAATTTAGGACCAGAGTGGAGACACTGGCTCAGGGACACACCATTTGACAAGGGGGCGGAGCCGTCAAAAACTACCCGAATATTACTCCAAGGGATCCACAAGACCGCATGGTGAGGGAGGAAGTAGTGCTCCTGTGACCGCCAGTCGAAGTTAGACGGTGACATGTGACCCAGCTCTTGATACTCGCGCATGAACTCGACATATTTGTCGCGAAAGGCTGGGTCGCGCCGCATACGGCGCTCCATGGAAAGCAACCTCTTTTCGGCCAGGGTACGAGATTGGCCCAAAGGGGGCCGTGAGTCGAGAAAGGGTAAGCGAGTGACAAAACGACGGTATTGTTCTGGTAGAATAACTCGCACTCACGGTCCAGAGGGTTGACTCGAACCGCGTGTGGTGGCTCCTCAATTTCCCAGAACCGCTGTACGACGTCCGAAAGGGAGACGCCCACAACAGAGAGCGGGTCGGCCGTCTGAGTAGGTGGAGACCACAGAACTAGTCCAAAGAAACTGTGCCCAAATACAGTGGACAAGGCTGACAAGCCATCGGGCTGCAGGGCTCGTATCTCGCCTAACAAGATAAACCCCTGCGCGTCGGCCCCCAGCAA